CGCCCAAGTCCGATTTCAAAAGACGACCGGCACTATTTTCGTGTACCTTCTAATTTTACGTTCTTCTCCCAAAAGGAAAAGAAAACGTCTGCGCGGAGCGTAATTGGTTCCGGAATAACTTTAGCCTTCAGCTAATTTTTTTTTTTTTTTTTTTTTTTTTTGCGCATAATAACACACTCTATTAACGAGAAATAAGAGATTGACGCTTTCTTTGGGAAAGTTTTTCAAAGATTTCTCCGAAACAATTTTATCTAGTGCTCCAGTAATTGTCAGCACCGGCCTAATGATCTCGCAACTTCGGTGCGGAAGCTGCGAATTTCGAGTTCGAGTCCACTTAACACTTTTAGAATTTTTTTCGAACCGGTCTTTTTCAACCGAGCGTATCAAAGTCATTGGCAATTATACTTTTTCGCTCGACGCTCTCTGACTCTAATGACTGATTATCTTTTTGACTTAACCCACAATTTCTGTTATGTGGAATCATTGGTTCTTTGAAAATCCTCCGATATCATCGTCCGACGACAATTCTCGGTTTAATACGTGCAAAAGAACTCATTGAGTTTTTCTCTCCCGATCAATTTCTGCCGCGCTCAGATCCGAATTGCTCTTCAAATTGATTTTTTGCTTTGTCTTTTTCGTAATTCTCGATCCGATTAAAGTTTCTGGTAATTTTTTTTTTTTTTTTTTCGAACATCTAATATACAAACAGCACGCGACATCACATGAATACCAATTCTTTTGATTTTATGTTTTACGAGAGATGTTAATAAAACCTACGCACACGTAGAAAATAGAAATTGCAGAATCAATCACTTGATACAATATATCAAAAAACTTTTAATTATACCACGCATCAATCATGAAATTACTTTCAACACACGAATAATACGATCTAATTTGCGTCACATAATACAATATTTTGTAACATTTGTAACACTCAGTGATATGTGACAATAAGCATAGTATGCATGCAAATCTCAAAGCTCATCCGTGACATTTCTCTAGTTTTTTTTTCGCACAAAATAACTCGCTTACATATCTATCAGCGCATGCACACGTGGACAAAAAAAAAATAATAATAAAAAAATAAATAAATAGCGTAAAATTGGGTGAAAAGGTAAACGGACAAATAAAATGAGAGATCGGTTTACAAATAAATATAAAACATATATTTAAATTAAATGCGCCACAAAATATCTTGTTTTGCGAAAAACCTGAAGTCAGAGTAATCCTGATTTTAGTTTCGTCTACGTGAAATTACAACGTCAAAGAGATGCATAAATCATTGCTTTCTCTTTCTCTCTCTCTCTCTTTCTGTACGACGGTAACGTGCACACGTTTCAACACACATGATAAAGCAATAATAGAACCACCGATATGTCAAAAAAATCAAATAAACATCGACCCACGACATACCCACGAATTAATACAAAAACATTTATGTACAAAAAAAAAACTTTGCTAAAATCATAGACGATTTAAATCGTCGACGAATCTCTCTCTTTCGCTCACCCCTCCTTCTACCCCCCCTTATTCCGTTTTATCGATGTATTCAGTCTTAATTTACCGTGTATCAATCCATCGCACCACAGTTTCACGTAAATGAGAGTAATTAAAATATTATACATTTACATCGCACGTGCTAATGAAGAGGGAATTGAATTTTTGGAAAAAGAAATAAACAATTATCGCCTTTCTCTTTTTTTAACCAACCGTTCTTGCATGTGTTTCCTCTTCTTGGAATAAAATGAAACTTAGAGATATGTAACAAAACAATTTAAATTTACGCAAAAATGTGTCCTGTCTGTATTTTTAAATTAAAAATACAGACAAGACACATTTTTGCGCAAATTAAATTTTTAATACAGACTTTTTTAATATGAACAAAAATACGTGAGAGAAATGAAAAGAATTCACAGACATTTAGAAATTCATATTTAATTTTTTTTTATTTTTTTATTTTTTTACACGCTAGTAATGTGAAGAAGGAATTTCGGTTTTTTTAGTGTAATTTTAATAATTCTGTATCTGAAAAACATTTATGTTTGATGGAACTTCACATTTGAAACCGATTTGTTTGTGAAAAAAAAATTAGATCTGTGAATTCTTTTTTATAAATTGTTTTAAGTTCTGTTTATAAAAAATTAGTGTTTTTCGATAGACGCAGCACCACCAGTTTCGACTGCGCGAAAAAAACAATCAAAGCTCGTGGAGCAACGTGCGTGTCTTGTAATGAATGAAAATTATTATTGCTGCTAATACATCAACGCGAATGTATTACGATTATTGCTCTGAGGAATAGTTAGTCGAAAATTTGATCGTGTGTCTCGAATTATATTTTCCAGACGGGAAATTATGAAGTTTCTTAACGGCGCTCGTTCTCGGTGTCGCATCGTTTCTCGAGTCTGCTCGGAATTTATTGATCGTTTTTCCTCGCACTGAGCAATGAACACTAACTGGTATGCACATGTAGAATACAACATATAGACAGTTTTTCAAAAACTGAGTAATTTATCATATTGTTTCGCATTTTTTCAATCGCGCACTTAATCGTAGCTGCCTTGTTTTTTTTTTTTTGTTTCCTTTGTCTCACATCGTGGCGTGAAAATTAAGGATTATTTCGGAATCTGAAGAGGCGCATTTTTTGTTTTTTAGCGTCAAACGTGATTAGCGTCGTAAGCGCGATTCTCACATCATTTCGAGCGATTTTCAAACGAAAATCGCTTAGGGCCGAAGAAGTTACACAACCACGTTGGTTCGACAACTAAATGCAACGCTATGCCAGAGATATTTCGTGCGCGCGCTATGCGCGTTATTACGCGGATGAGACGTTTCACAAAGCAGTTCGAGAGTTTCAATGCCTGCGAGAGTATATCAGGATTCTCCTCTTCCCCTCCCCACCCATCCTCTTTGACGTTCGCACAGATACATGTATAGGTACATCATATATATATATATATATATATATATATATATATATATATATATATTATATTCTGTCTTTACAATTGCACGATCACACTAATTACTCGTTTAATGTAATCAAGACGTTGTCTAC